GTTGTTATTGCGGGAGGGGGTGTGAGGGATGAGTTGCGGGAAATGCGAGAACCCAAAACAGAATCCCCCTCGTCCTCACGTACCATCCCACCGACCTCCGGATCCAACGCATCATCGTCCGGCACTTCCGCCACCTGCAATCTGACCCCACTACCAAGGACATCTTTCCCTCCCCACCCTTATCTGCTTTCCGGAGGGACCACTCTCTCCGTGACTCCGTTGTCTGCTCCACACTCCCCTCCAGCCCCACCACACCCGGCACTTTTCCCTGCAACCGCAGGAAGTGCTACACCTGCCCCTAAACCTCCCCCCTCATCCCCATCCCAGGCCCCAAGAAAACCTTCCACATCAAACAGATGTTCACCTGCACATCTGCTAATGTGGTATACTGTATCCACTCTTCCTGATGTGGCCTCCTCTACACTGGGGAAACCAAGCAGAGGCTTGGAGACTGCTTTGTGGAACACCTACGCTTGGTTCGTGACAAATGACTGCACCTCCCAGTCGCGAACCACTTCAACTCCCCCTCCCACTCCTTGGACGACATGTCCATCCTGGGCCTCCTGCAGTGCCACAACAATGCCACCCGAAGGTTGCAGGAACAGCATCTCATATTTCACTTGGGAACCCTGCAGCTCAATGGTATCAATGTGGACTTCACAAACTTCAAAATCTCTCCTCCCCCGACCGCATCTCAAAACCAGCCCAGCTCGTCCCCGCCTCCCTAACCTGTCCTTCCTCCCACCTATCCCCTCCTCCCACCTCAAGCCCCACTCCCATTTCCTACCTACCAGCCTCATCCCGCCTCCTTGACTTGTCCATCCTCCCTGGACTGACCTATCCCCTCCCTAACTCCCCACTTACACTCACCTTTACTGGCTCCAACCCCACCTCTTTGACCTGTCTGTCTCCGCTCCACCTATCTTCTCCTTTTATCCATCTTCCATCCGCCTCCCGCTCTCTCCCTATTTATTTCAGAATCCCCTTCCCCTCCCCAATTTCTGAAGAAGGGTCTAGACCCAAAACATCAGCTTTCCTGCTCCTCTGATGCTGCTTGGCCTGCTGTGTTCATCCAGCTCTACACCTTGTTGTATCAATATTTCTGGAGAAAACTGCTGAAAGTGCATGATAATGGGTTCAATGACTTTAGAACTAAACAGTCCCAACAACATTTCTCAAACACAGTATTGGAACAAAAACGTTTACTGAGTAACATGGCATTTTTATTTCAGTCACACTTGTGGCTTCTTCTGGACTAACAAAATAGAGTCAGTTCTAGTTGTTCTATTGATTCTTTCCAGGAATAGTAACGGGCAACGCCAATCCAGCTATCTTCACCTAGGGTTTATGCCTGTCCAAGATCTTCATATCCATTTCGGCTCCACAGACTTGGAGTGATGGTGTCCCAAGATTTCACTATTGGTCTCCTAGCAAAACACTTCATAACTTTATCAGCATAAAGCATGTGGGAGGCATCAAAGAACGAATGTTAACTTGGCAGGTAATTCAAAAAAATGATAAAATCATAAACATGATCATTTCTGTTTAAGTTATTTGCTTTGGTTTATGAAAATCAACAAACGTATTTTAAGGTCCTGGTTCTTCCTGCTTGATTCATTAGGATATGAACTTCTCATAACAGGGCACTGACGCATCTTTAAATGAGTTTGAAAAGAGATTGAAGAATCAACATCAAAAAAAACTACTTTTACAATATTTTTAATACCTGAAATTTTACCAAGCACACTTCTATGATTATCTGAAATGAAAGATGGAATATTCCCAGTCCCCAAAGGGCATGGTCATTGGCAAGAAAGTTTATAGAATTGTGTGAGATCAGCAGTGAGGAGCTCCCTACCATCGAGAACAAAAAGTTCCGCGTGAAAGTCAGAGCATTACCCTGGTGATTCCAGCTCACTGCATGCTTCACTGGCCCTCCATTGGTCAATTCAGGGCAGGCTGCATTGGCAGTGACCACATCCACCCCTGTCCAGAAGGACCTCCAAGTCCCCATCGGCACAGTAGGGAGCTAATTATCCTCTGTCTGACATATCCTGGCCAAATAAAATGAACTGTACAGGCCAGTTGCAGACTGTCAGTACTTGACTGGGCACACAACAGAGCTTTAAAGATGCTGCTGATATCAGCAATCTCTTGTAGGTCCTGGCAGGGACAAGTGGGCACCATAGGGGTATAGTGCATAGGTGAGTTTGGGACAACAGTGTGAGGAAACTCACGAAGTCTTATGGAGACAAACTCAACAAGAAACTCACCAAAAATGACATTTAGTCAATTTCTGGTAAAATTCTGGTAAAATTCAAATTTGAAGCTCAGCTAAGGCTTTAAAATGGAAAGCCAACAAATGTTGATGCAATAACTTTGCATGACAATAGCTTTTGATAAACTCTCCTTTCCCCACGAACAGATTCCAGGAAGAACTGCAGATGCTGGAGTCAGAGACAACACAGCGTGGAGCTGGAGGAACATAGCAGGCCAAGCAGCATCAGAGGAGCAGGAAAGTTGATGATTTGGGTTGGTACCTTTCTTCAGAATTCTGAGCTGGCTGATACTTTTAATGATTATGTACTTTATACGCTAAATCCCTCATCACATCAGTCTCCAATATATTTTAAAACTCTCATTTTAACATTTCAAATTGAACACCTTTATCTCTTATATCAGTCAGCTTTATTAGTTTTTCAACAATCTCACAGAGGCTTTGTTTGCCTCCACCATGCTTACTGTACCACACATTATGTTTGAAAACTGGTTGTAAAATAAAATCTAGGTATCAAGATAGATAATACCCTGATTTTGTTGACAATTTGAGCCTTACTCAAGGAGCTCAATGGAAAATCATGCCCTGTAACTCATAGCTAGCCATTTATAATCTCTTCTACATTTGGCAATTTAACTGATTTATTGAAGGAGATGAGTGACTTTCTAATAAAACTCCAAAAGAAAAACTTATCTGCTGAAAACTTAATTTTGCAAGAGTGCTTACCATTCATAAAAAATAGATTTAAAGATGAAACAAATGATAATTTCAATACAGTACTACAAAGGAAGTCCACTTATAAACATCATAAAGGAGATGTAGTTTTATGTGGTAAGTACTATCAATGTTAAGTACTTAATGTTTAAGAAAATCCATTCCTGAGATCACCTCTCCATGTATTTTTTTCAAAGGATTACATTTCAATATTTATTTTTTCAGAGCCCCTACATGTAACCCCTGAAATTCTTTATTCTTCTTCGCCAAGTATCACCTCTTTGTACACGTCTCAAAAGTAACTGAAGCCTTGCTGAAATAGAATTCACAGACATTAATCAACCTCTTTGTGGTAACTTGCTCAAGTAACCTTTGTTGTGGAGTAATTCTGAACTTTTGGAAGTGTCAGTAGCTTATTAAATTGCCAGGAAATCAGAGCTGAGTCTCATCCTGCAAACGTTCACTGCTTTAATTGCATCAAGCAGGGATTGCAGGGCAATAAATAGAAACTGGAAAGTCTGTCTGATATTTCAGTTGCTAATCTTGGACTGTGGAGGCAAATTTTAGCTCTCCTGCAACTATCTAAGTTGAAAATATCCAATTCTGTAGTAAAAGGAGATTTTGCTAATCAGCATTAGCTCAGTCACTTAGGGCCTAAAGTGAGTGA